ACCGCGCAAGTGATTACCGAGTAATTTGTACAATTCACGATACATGTTGCAGTAAAAACTTGTCATTTCTCTGGTTAAATCCTTCCATGAACCAGGAAGATCAAAGTTGTAATTGTAAAGGCCTCTCTGCTCCTTGAAGGAAAATAACGGAGGGTGACTGGGTGGGAGGTTGTGGGTAACCCCCCCCCCCCGCTTCTTCCTCTCTCGCAGCTTCTTTCCACCCAGAATACGTGCAGCGAAATGCTGGAGAGGTTTTTTGTTTTTTTTTAGATTTTCTTTTTATCGCGCCTTTCTTATGTCTGTAAATAACTCAAGGCGGCGAACCTACCTAACACTCCTTCCTTCTCCTATTTTCCCCACAACCACCACCCTGTGAGGTGAGTTGGGCTGAGAGAGAGATTGGCCCAAAGTCACCCAGCCGGCTTTCATACTGAAGGCAGGACTTTCCTCCCTCGTGGAGGGAAACCGCTCGAAGATTAACATTTTTTAACCAAATTACACAAAACACCCTTCCCGTCTCAAAAGAAAGACCGGAGCTGAAGAACATGTGTACGCTTGTGTCTAATCTAGGATGAGATGAAGCGCAACGGTTTGTGTTCCCGCCCCAAAGAGTTACATCTGTGAGATGGGCGGCTAAATCCATCTGTCCGTCCGTCTATCATCTTCGTTTGCAAAGCAGATGCCCGCCCGCTGAAGCGATGAACGCCGCAGCCATTTCCGCGGAGTGGATGATTCTCACGCCCTCCCCGCGCCTCTTTTTCTGCCTTCCTCCCGTCCCGCCTTTGCGCGCCCTCTTCTCAGCTCCGGCGCCAGTCTCGCGGGATCGCCTTTCCTGCGCTATATAAACCCGGCGGCCACCTCCTGCGTTCTTTTCTCGCCCTGGTGCGGTCGGCGGCGCGATCTCTTCGCTGCAGCTGCGGGGCCTCTGCTGAATGCATCAGGCCACGGCGGGAGAGAGGAGCATGGCGGGGGGCAAGAAGAAGCTGGTGGGCGAAGAGGAAGAAGCCCCTGACCTCCTGCGGAAAGCAGGCCGGGGAAGGGAGCGCGGAGGCCTTGCCCGTGAAGGGTATGCTCACCGCGCAGGGTGGGGGTTGAAACGCCCGTGTCCTTTCTCGGCCCCTTAAACTTTGCGCCTCTAAAGCGATCTGTGCTTTAAGATGGTCAACACAGGGGGGCAGAGCGCTCTCTCACGGAAACCTGGGGCGGGGTTGGGCCTCTGCTTTCGGATCCTGTCGTGAGAAACACGTTCTGGTCTTTCGGTATCTTTAAGGGCAAGTCCCGGGTCTTACTACTGGATTGTCGGCGGGAGGCGGGAAGGGTACCAATTTACCTTGTTAGTCTCAACTTCTGCTGTATTCCTGTGTAGAAAATGCGAGTTGATGTACGACTCTTAATTACCGGTGTTGTTATGATCAATTCTTCATAAATTGCCGAAGACGGGAGAAAATTTGAGGTTGAGGTGACTGAATTTATTACATCTTGACCTGCTCTTCCCCCCCCCCCCCGAAAAAGTTCAGATAGGCCTGGTTAGGAGAGTTGCCAGCACAGGTCTGTGATGACTATATTAACTGGCTGGCTTGAGCTCTTTACAGCAATATTAGTTGGCTCTTTTTCATTCTGTTCCAGGCACAGACCCAAGGAATAGCTTATCTGCTTACAAGAATGGCCTTCTGCAAGGAAGTTGTAGATGTTTTGTAGAAGTTATTCCATTGAATGGGATGAATGAAATGGCTGAAGTAATAGCTGTTCTGTTTGTTAGCAAATAATGGTAAGTTTTATTCCACTCTCTATAATGTAGATAAATTATCTCTCTTAATCTCACTATATACCTAATGAACCTCTTGGTTGCATTCTGGCTACCAGCCACCTCAGAAACTTTTACTTTCCTGTGATGCATCCAATTTCTCTATTGCCAAAGTAATAAAGTACCTGCTTATAAACCCATCCATTGGCTTCTGTTTTATTTTGGATTCACCAAAAGGTTCTTGTCTTCACTTTCAGATTCTCAGTGAGGAAAGGCTCCATCTTCTTTTCTCCTAGATTTGCTGACTTTTGATCTAGAATTTGGTGGACATGTTCCTTTCCTCTACCAGATCTCAAAGCATTATATCAGTAGAGGGTGCTTTTAAAAAAATCTCCACAAAATCCCAGATACGAAAAAACAAAAACCTGCAATTTATCCAGTACCACATTTCTGAAAATTATCACCTCCAGAGTTACCAACTTGAGTCAGTTCATTAAAGCTACTACATATGGATGGACCTGTGTCTGGAATTCATCTCCCCCTTTTAGCTTTGCCCTCTTAAGGCTGATTGTGCTTTAAGTGGCCAGTACAGAGGGGTAAAATAATTCTCTCTTAAACCCAGAGGTAAGGGTGCAACTTTTCTCTGGATCCTGTCGGGAGGAACAAAGAGAAAAAACAATCTTTGCTAAATATCTCTTATGCTAGAAGACATTGTTACTCAAGAATTGCCAGTGCTGATATAACAGCAACTATAGCTTTTTATTATACACCATAATGTGAGTTTTGGGTTTTAAAGTAATCAGTAGTTTTGTGCTTCATAGTTTTTTTGTAAAGCCGATCAACTTTTTCTTGGCAGATGATTTTTTTTCTTTTAAAGCAGATGCCTCATGTTTTATCAGTATTAGTAGAATTATTTCTGAAAAAAAGTATTTGTGTTATTTCTCTTATTTATATTCTGCTAGAGTCCAAAGACTCTTGAGTACTATGAACTTTACTATGAAAATTGAGAGCCAGTTTGGTGTAGTGGTTAAGCTACTGGGTTAGAAACTGGGAGACTGTGAGCTGGGTGATCCTGGGCCAGTCATTCTTTCTTAGCCCAACCCACCTCACAGACTGGTGGTTTGAGGGAAAATAGGAGGCAGGAGCATTATCTATGCAGCCTTAAATTGTACAAAATAAAGATGGGATATACATTCAGTAATAAAATTGATCTGTTACTTTGTGGCAAAATAATATACATGCTTACTGGCTGGTTTCACACAATATCCTAAACCCCAATAAACAATTCCTATTTTATGCAATGTACAATTATGGAATAACATAATGGCCTGGTTCACATAAACTAAGATGGTGACTGGGCTTTCTAACATACTGACCCCCAGACTTGAAGACACCATTTTTAACCATCAAAATGTATCCTGGATGGAAAGGACTTAGGAGATGGAAAACTCAGGGAACATAAATAATTATGTTTATTGCTTAATATTTGGCTCCTGGCTTTTTGGATGGCTTTCCCTCTATATTAAACTTGATTCCAGTGAGTAAAATATCTATGCTGGGCAATGGTAGAGGGGTATGATGAGTCATAAGTATTCATGATTGCTTCAGTTGTAACATGCACTTGTATGTGGCTATTGGCACCATGAATAATCTGAACCTATTTTTTCTTGATTTTTCACAGGAAGGAAAGACACAGTATCCATAAGGTGACTTGTGGCTGACTTCGCTGATGAATGTTCTTGTTGCAGTGTCTAATTTAGTCTGGAGAGATCTGGCTTCAAATTCAAACCTGACCATGAATTTTCCTGGGTATTGGCCTCATAGGGTTGTGAGAAAAAAAATACTGGGGTTTTCTTTGTAGATAAATTGACTTGGATCTTTTTTCATCCTTTAGATTTCAGAAATGTAGGCATAAAGAGATGCTCGCCACCTGTTTCCTCAACCCAGGCCCTTCTTTTCTGATAAAATTGGTCTGGGAGGGACTGCCCCCGTGACAATGGAAGGTGAATCGGTGCCTCCTTGTGAGAGGCCTTCTCTCTCTCTCATCTTTTAAAAAGGAGTTGATTATAAGACTTCTGTTGACTATCCTGTTAACTTAAGTACCTGTCCTTTGGAACAGCCTCCCCCTGGCTCTTTTCTTAGGTGTTAGGGTCAGGACATCAATGGACCCCAGTAGATACCTTGGTGAGAGTTCTTTGGTTACAATGATTATTCTTAATTGTATTCTGTACTGTATTTTATTTATGCCTTTTATTAATATGGTTTTTATGTATTGTTTCTTAGCTGCCCAGAGTTATTTGTTTAAGACGGGTGGCCATATAATCTTCCCAAATAAATAACAAACAAACCTCTGTAGTTAGTCTGCTTTTACACGTTCTATTTTGGGGCAAAGATGGCAGTGGCCTTTTAACTCTAGTTCTATTTGGAAGATGCTGATTATCTGGATCCATTTAATCAGGCTAGGCTATGATAACAAGGCTGCTTTGATTACCTTGGTGGATGGCCTGTGCCAGAAATTGGGTGAATGGGGAAGAGGGAGATGCAGCTGTGTTGGTTAGTCTCGACCTCTTAGTATCTTTTGATACCATTCATGTAGTATTCTTATAGACTGGCAGGATTTGGCCTTGGGGGCACCCTTCTATAATGGTTCAGGTCCATCTGTGTTCAGAAAGTTGTGCTGGGAGGCAGTTTTGTGGTATGTAATCTGATGGCCAGATCCTATGGTAAGGGTAAGAAAAGGAAAAATATGCAAGGAGAGATTGACTTGTTTTTTCTGAAAGGGATAAACCATTTGTTATTTCAGTGGAATGGTTCTACAAGTCAACCACCATGTGAAAAAACTGTCCCTTTAAATATAGACATGTTCTGTGATGTAACATGATGTTTATTAGGGCTAACTAGAGATCAGGATTTGAAGTGCACGAGTGCATATGGCAACATTTTGGAACACCTTAAGCAAGACACGTCTTGGGATTGCACATCAACTGTAGAGGGCAGCCAAGAATTAAGAAATGATCCAGCACATGGCTCAATTCTAATTAAACTAGAATATATGCGCTTGTCACTCAGCAACTCAATAGCAATTTCTGCTGTCCCAAGAGGAAGCTGGAGGTGAACCACAACATGGTGAAGTAAGCATTAACTGAGGTATAACACTAAATTCAGTCATGCTGCAAGAGATTTTTGGATCATACTGGAAGCTCATACACACTGGTCCCCCACCATTCATGCACATAAACACAGAATTCTAGAATTTCTCAGATAGGAGCCATGCATTTAAAAAAGTTTTTATTGTAAAAAGTAAATCCCCTTTCCATTCCAAATTCTAATAAGGGATATAGAAAATACAATTAGGATCATTCCATTAACCAAATGCCCCTGTGATGGCATCAGCCTATAAAATGGAAGTACAATTGTACTTAGAAGTCTGAGAAACTGGTCAGGTCCATTCTTCCCATTACCAGATTCTAAACACATTGGCATCAGGATAATCCCACCCCATCCCCATGCTATGCAAAATAGCTCTATTTCTGCACCATATGCTTCACAAATTCTATCAGTGCTCTTTAGGTGTAGTGAGGTGGCGAGGCAATCATCTTAGCAACTGTTCACTGGCTTAGGTCTCTCAACCGTGCAGCTTTCATCTAGGCAGAAAGACGATGGCTGCCTTTCTTTTCAGGTCTGCCCTCAGAAAGTGGGAAGGATAGCAAGGAGGAGCAGCAGCAAATTTGGGTTAAAATTCTCACACTAAAATGTATGGCTTCATAAACCCAATCGCTCTTGCACAATCCCACCTCTAAGCAAGAAGACACATTGGTAAAATCAGAATCAAACACTCTCTGAGCTGGATTAGTAGCTCAAACAGATTTATAGATACACACTAAATATTTCTCATAAAACTTGCATATAAATAAGAAAAAGCCCAATATTTTTATTATTAAAAATAAAGCTGCCCTTTAAATTGTACAAAAAGCAATTAAAAGTCTGGAAAAAAGTATCCTGCATGTGGTGAGCTTCAGTAGCAAAAGAATGTGTCAGGAGCATTTCCAAACACAAACAGCTAGACTGCCTCCGAAGAACATGTACAGCAGGTTCTTCACTTCATGGGTGATTTCAAAGCCAAAACCTTCGCCAATCACTACATGCCAGGAAGAGCCAAATTTCTTGTCCATTGTCTCTTTGATCATCTTGGCAGCACTCTGAAGGAAAAGTTCAACATGGAAGGAAACAGAAGCCAAAAGAGAAAGGTAACAAGTTACTGAAATGGAACACTTTGTCTCACAAAAAAAAAAAAAAAAAAACCAGTAGAACAAAAGCTTTCATGGACTGTTTCAGCAGGTAGCAACACCTGGGCAGAGTTGGGCTTGCAAGCTAAGCAGGCTAGGGAATACAGGACTGTAGACTAGATGAGGAAGTCCAAAAAACATTTCCAGAAAAAGGCAATGGCAAGCCACATTTGTACTGTTGCCTGAAAACTGCATGGCTGCATGGCCATCCCGGAAGTCAGGAGCTGAATCTGATCAGAGGTGTGTTTTTTTTGAGGGAGTGCACAAAGAGACCCTGAGCTGTAGGTAAACATGTCCACATCTGGTCACTTACCAAACAGCTGATAAGAGAAAACTAGCATACTTATAGCCAGGATATTTAACATAAGTACCAAAAGGTCTTTATCCTACTAGCTCTATTCATCAGTTGAAATACTGGGAACACAAACCCCCACTTCCTGACATTGCTCAAATGACATTCCCTCCTGCAGAGACTTGCACAAATGTCTGTAGGAGGAAAGCCTTCCACGTGGTTAATGAGGAAACTACCACAGCTTCCCTCCAGCAGCCATTTGTGCTAGAGTGCCTGCAGGAGTCAATGTCATCTGAGTGACATGGGTAGGGAGCAGGGCTTATCTAAAGCATTTGCATGATGAACACTCTTCTGGATGCTTGAATGGAGCTTAGCAGGCATTTTTCTGCCCTGACCAAAAACTGAATCCAGTTCCTCTAATGGAAACAACTATGTGCCAACTGAGGGGGCTAAGTACATACAATACTGCTTGCTGAGCTATAAAAAAATTACCACAGTTAACATTAATCTTAGTGTGCAGTGCTACATTCTAAGCATGAAGGCACCACGTTGGGGAAAACTGCTCTATCGTCACTTAGGAGTCTTAAATAATCTTTTATAGAAAGAGATTTAGCATCAAAGGCAGAGTTAAGAAGGCATTCATACAAACTATGATTGCTTTTTAATATATATAAATGACATCAGAGTCTATAGTCTAGATTATATTTATAACTTGCTTTTGGGCCTTTTGGCTGACTTTATAAGAATGAAGATTTCTTGCCTCCTCTATTATCCTTTCCTTTTTGGAAGAGGGATTCAAAATAAATAACTGGACCATATGTGGGATATCACCAAATACAGAGGTTTTAGAGTTAGTACCTCATTGTTGGTGGCATATTTCTCACATGCAGTGACACATAATTCCATGGCCTCGACTCGCATTTCCTCTGGCATGTCTGAATGCTGGGAAAAAATTACAAACAAGGAGGATCTCAGTCAATATTAAGGCAGGATTAGTTAATGCATAACATTAAATCACAACTAGATGCTAGGACGTTAAGTGAAGAATGGAGGGATTCAAATCTCTTCCAGTAAATTTGCTTTTATTCATTACAGAGAATTAAGCGCCAAGAATACCAGTCTACAGATTTTTTCCCCAGAGATCTTTGTCTATGCAATACACTCCACTTCCAGATAAAATTCTCCTTTTCCATATGCCTCAAATGTTATTGCAGTTCTTTTTATACTGATTTATATTCTTATTGTTATCTCTGACATTCATGCACCCTTACTTTTCTAGCATTCACATCTCCTTTTACACTTCTTGCTTGCTTGGAATCATATTTCTTTCATCCCTCCCAGTTTGTGCAATGTGTACAGTATGTACTATGAGGCCCTGATAAGTGCCTTCTATTTTTTTCTCATCTTATGCCTGATTTTTTAAATATAATTTTATTGAAAGTTTTAACAACAACAATAAGAACTAAAACAGAATGAAAAAGAAAAAGAAGGAAGAAAAAAACTAAAAGCACAGAAAGAAAAAAAGAAAAATAGAAAAAAAATAAAGATATAAAGAAATGGCTTCTGATCTTCACAGCAGTTATAAGTACAATTTTATTTTAGCCTCTCTCTCTAAAGTTACATGACTTTCTTCTTTCTATAATCTATCCTGTCTAATCATCAAAACCATAAATGCATAAAGTGCATTTTTTCTTTTTTACACAAAAAGTTCATAAAAGGTTTCCAATCACCAATAAATGTAGATACTGTATTGTCTTTTCTCTAATCAAGTCAATTCAGCCATTTCAGCAAATTCTGTCATCTTCACCAACCATTCCGTCATTGTAGGTATTGCCAAATCTTTCCATCTTTGTGCATACAGTAATCGTAAGCCGGATTATTTGACAACTTTACCAAAAGACTTGGAATGAATCTCTTAGACTAGCTTTAGAGTGATCCACATTTCATCATTCAAACATGGAGGGAAAGCAGGATGTCCTTGATTAGAAAACTTCACATGCATTATGTAACACATACAAAGAAGTATCAGCTTGCTTGGGCCCATAGCAAAGACTTCTGCTTCATCACAGATATGCTATAAAAACATGGTATGATACAAAACAACCTTGAAAGAAGATGATGCTTACTAAGCTATGAGTGACAGAAATGCACATTTTGATCAAGGCTGCTCTTTATACCTTGGGCAATCTGATTTTCATAGATAAACTGATAACTCTTCAGTCACTATGGCAACTAGTTCTCTCCACCCTTCCTCTCATTCTTCTGGTTAGATTTTGTGGCAAATTAAGATGTTACAAAGACATTATATTTCTGTATCTTCTGATTCAGAATATATCATATCTCTTAGCTTCCATTCTTACCCTAATCAGTGGGAAGCTGTGAAGTCTCTTATAATCTGCTTCTTCTTTTTTCCCCTCCCCGGTGTCTGCCATTGTCTGTCCACTGTGACCCCAAGAGGGGTCAGAATATCTTGAAGGAAACCAATCACGTGTAGGCTAGCACTGTGAATTCAGGTCAGTTTTTGGAGAAATACCTTATGCTATATAGAAAAAAAAAGAAAAAGAATGAAAAAATAATATAGCATTATAGTTAGGCGTTGAGGGTATAATACAGCCAAGTTCTTTTAAGAGAATAAAAATAAAAACAGTAATTTATATGACAATTATATTTGTCTACAGTCTTTTTAGATTTTTAGAATTGTTTTAGATTTTTTTTAATTCCACCTTTCTTATTTTTATAAATAACTCAAGGTGTCGAACATACCTAATACTACTTGCTAATATTATTAAAATATGCATGCTTCATATGGTAACAATAATGAAAAACCTGAACTACAGTGACTGTGATGATCCTTGTTTGACTAAATTACTGCCATTTGTTTAAACTTCATATTGAGAGCCATAGTTTCAGAAGCAGCAACTCCTGTGTATTTTTCCACTCTTTCAGACAAGTCTCTCTTTCCCCCCGTGGAATTAACAGCTAATCAATCATCCAATCTTGTGTACTCATATATATTTTAAAGGTTTAAAGGGTTTTATAAGGAGAAGAAAATCCCTTGCTGGAGATTCTACAAAAGAGCTATCTTTACAGTAAGCAACCCTGAGCTAGAGGGGACACTGCTCTATTTCAGTATAAGCCAGTTTCAAATATTGTACAGTATTACCAAATCACCAAGACATTACTCTGCAGCTCCATAAAAATAATGGAAGATATGGATGAGGAAGAATTAATATCTGGGCGCAATACTGGGTGATATTCTTTAGAAGGTAGTCAATGTGCTGCATTTCTTCTAAAGAATATCACACAATATCACTCAGTCTGGTGTTTCCAGGCAACATGGATACTCAGTACACTTGGCATATCATATATTTGAAGTTAAATCTCTGAACTTTCATTGCAAATTGTAAAAAGCAACTACTAAAGGATGAGCAGTAAAACGAATCAAAATACAAATAAAGTATAATTCTGCCTTCTTGGAAGACAAGATTTAAGAGACCTCAAAGACTGGAAAGAAATGCCATCCTACTATCCAAATGCCTGGACACTTGGGCAAATAACCTTCCTTTTCTAATAAAAATTATGCAACAGATATGATTTTTGCATATTACAGGATTTTGGGGCTTACCTTGTTTATATGTAACTCTTTTTGTAGGACTTTTAAATAATGATCTTTTTAATATTGTAACTGCAAAACATTGTTGCCTTATATCTTTGTATCATCCTTACTTTCTTGCTATGTTGCTGTTTCTGAAATATTCTTTCAGCCAACTATTTCAATAATCTTGAGACATTAAAACTGCATTGTCTCCAAGTAAGTTAACTACTGACCACCACAGTGCACATTTTGGATTCTCAGGCACTATGGTTTCACCATGAAAATCACATGACACCAAGTACTGATTGTAGCAAAAACCATACTGTGTGTGGTTTATTAGCTTCCAACCATTCAGCTATTTTAAAATCCAGAGCCAGAGGTAAGTTTTGGCTCATCTGTGTATTTAGATGATATGCCTCCATTATGCAATTACTTCTCATAGTAACTTTTGAGCTGACTACCACATGGAATCAGAATCAACCCAGTGTCCTATTGAGGAACGATCAAAAGCGCCATTTGGGCCACTGATTCCGGATCACCTTACTTTGGAATGGTGACTTGCCAAATATTAAGAGAAAAATTTAAAATATTCTGTTGTCCACTTCGCTGCTAAGGAGAATGGTTCCTTATCACGACACATACCAAGTAAGAAATCCCGCTATTTTATTCATAAAAGAGTACATCTCCAAACCCAGAAAGCTTTCCACCTACGCGAGGGCTACCTGCAGCTACTCACTTCGTGTGCAAACACACTCTGCACATGCTCAAAGGTATCACACTGCTCCCCCCCGATTCAAGGCCGACGGGACAGTAAATCATCTCCAGAGTACAAACCCACTTCAGATCCAGACCTAAGCGAAGGCATTTCGGTACCTTAAGTGAAAATCCAAATTTCCTCCCACGCACCTCAGAAAGGAGCGGTGAGGAAGAACCGCAGCCGGTTGAAACAATTATTCGGCTGCCTCTCCTTTGCCCGGGCGAGCCGCTTCATCCTCCTGAGCCCTGCTCAGATACTCGCCTCGCCCGGATCATACACGGGCTGGAATGTGGGACAGTCCCACCCAGTCGCTAAGGAGAAAAGAGCACTCCACGACCCGGCTAAAGGCAAGGATAGGCGGCACTATCCGGGGGACCAGACCCGCCAAACGAAAGGCGAGGGGCCGGTGAACGCCACCCGGTCCAAGGAGGAAGCGAGAGGCAGCTCCGTCCACGCCGGGAGCCCAAAACGAACACTCGGTGGTACATCTCACCTGCGTCACCTCGACCCCGAGCCCCAAAAGCCAGCCTCCTTGCCGTTGTTAAGGAAAGAAACGTGCTTGTCTTAGCAACCGACGCCGGAAGTTCCGCCTTCCACTTTGCCATTGGGCAGATGTAAAAGGTGGCGAGCATGGACAGGGTCCAAATGTTGTCGATTATGCAAAAGGGTCCTTAGTCACCTCCACAGTTTCATCGGGACATGCAGCGATGGGTGTCCAGAATCTGCCTGATGAGATTAGTAGAATAAGTTTGAGAGGTAGAGAAGTTTCTCTTCGTTTCTTAAGCTACGCTGTACAAAACTGTACCAGAGTTTCGCATTATTGCATTATATAGGAAGCAAACTGGGGAAGAGGTATATGCTTTTGTTATTCTTCCAAAGAGAGAGAACTCAGTGCTGTTCTTTTAGACACAGCCCAAACTACAGATAATTTTCTCCTTGAATTTCTCTTGGTGTTGGAAAGAAAAAAAAGTCTCATCAGGTGAGTAACAGAAAGCTAGTTATTAATATCAGTGAGGTCTGGATCTTTTAAAATTAAATGGATCTTTTTAAATTAAAAAGGTCACCTTCAAACAAAATAAAAATAAAGTTAGAATTAAAAAGGAATGGAGAGATGGGTTAATATGTCATGATCATATAAATGGAAAAGGTAAATATACTGGTTGCCAGTTACAATGCATAAGATGCAGGAAAATCTGACCAAATATTCTTGCATATATTTTCTTTGCTCTTATATTAGTATGCACTAGTTCAAACAAGGGCAAAAAATGCATATTGTTATGTATTCTCATAGGTAAGGCAAGGGTTTTTCAAATATTCTTGAAGCAGCTTTTGGCTATCCCTGTGCACATGGTCTCGTGTGTAGATCAGTGGAAGATTTTAGATAGTAGAACATGCATGCTGTGTTAAATAGTCTCCCACTACTTTTACGTTTGCATGTCTTGGACAATTTAACAGTTAACACTGATTTATATAAATCTTTGGAAGAAGGAGATGAGTTTTGAATTCTGGAAATCTTACAGGGAACTAAGATAGAAGGAACTGGTGGTATTGAAAATTATAGCACATTGAAGTAAATATATGGTAGCCAGCAGTAATTCTCTACAGAAACAATTCTATTATTGTACAAAAGTGAAGTCACTCTGTGGTGAGATGGGCAGTGACAATTTTGAAATATAAATAAGTAAATAAATAAGTGGACTGAAGCCTCATAAGCTGCTACTTTAAATGATGCTTTAGTCCAATGGGTGATGTAATCCATGTAATAGCAAGATGAATTGAGATCAAGGTCTTTCCTACGCAAATATGACCCATTTTGTTGCACTTTCTCTTTTCAGGTAATGGATGGTTTCATAAAAATAGGATACTTTTTTTCGCTTCTCGGCCTTTTGGCTCAGATGAAGTATAGGAAACATAAAAATAGGATACACGTTGAACTGGTACTGGTGTCACTTACCATATGAGCCTCCAATTGGTCAAGGATTGGAGCATATTCATCATACAGATTTCTACTCTGTCATTTTGAAAGGAACAGTTGATCACCAGGATAAATTCATATATGTGATGGTGGGTTCAAATGGCGAAAATCAGGATGCTCTTTATTTCTCTGTGTCATTGTTATGCAAGGCAATGGATTATGGGGTGTTTGTTCTAACACATCCAACAACCATGGTTCATGCACTACCAAATCTCATTTTGGAAGATGAGGGGATTCGGTAGTACATGAACTGTGGAACCATTTTAGAAGATAGAACATAGCTGATGAAGTCTTTTTGATGACTATTTTGACATGTGTGAAACACATTATAATATCTTCTTTAACCAGCTGCAATAATGTTGTTGAACATATTTTGGGATACTTGAAGGCATATTGATTGATTAGACTTGAGGGTAGCCATTGCTGAGGACAATGTCCCCAGTGTCATCTGTGCTTTGGACATAGCTGAGACCCAGCCATTGCCTCAGTCATCTGAAACTTCCTAACAAGTTCTGCTGCGTTCTCTATCAAGGCTAAGATTCCCTCGAACTGAGCCTGACATGTCCATGTTTTTTTCTTGGCAACAGTATAGAATGGCTTGTTACTGGCTTCTTCCAGGATTTTTACTTTTTGATTTCCTGATCTATTCTACAGCTCAGACATTCCCTGACGATCACCCTTCTAAACTCTAACCAGGGTGAACCTTGCTTAGTTTGACACCAGGATCAGCTAAAATCAGTTAGGGCTGCCACATCTGCTTTGCCCAGGTTCTACATGGGGCAGAAAGCAAAACAGAGCCGAGTGTGTGGATTGTTCTGAATACATGTGTGATTTTGAATGGAATATCACAGATTTCAGATTGAAAATGTTGATGTGGAACAAAATAAATTTGTATTGAAAAACATCATTAAGAAAGAGAATAAAATGGATTCTGGCACTCCAAAGCTTAATGAACTCCAAAGGGACTAAATAAAGATATACATTACTGAGCAGTAAGCCTATCATTAAGGATTAGTAGATATCCCTTTCCCTGATAATAACAATATTTTTATTAGCTGTTTTGGTAGTAAACAAACTTTCATGTCTAATTAGGATTAATAGATAGGAGCCAATTCCTTTCTTTTCTTCAGTTCTTTAGAGAAGCAGTCCTTTTTGTGAGAACATAAGATCATAAGAACGTAAGTAGTGTTCTGCTGGATCTGATCCTGGCCCATCTGTTCTCACGGCGGCCAACTAACTGCACAAGGAAGTCCACTAGCCTCCTAGCAGGCCTTCAGAAGCAGTCAAACTTCAATCAATGCTACTAGCCATTGATCCCCAAGATTTCCATAAGCTGGTCCAACCCTTTTTTGAAACCAGCCCTTTTTTGTCTTTTTCTTAGAGGAGTAATTCATAAAAAGGTTTATGAAGCTAGTGCTATAGCCTTTAGGCAGGGTACTATAACAGGGAGTGACTGCCTCTGAAGGCCATCTGCTGGGAGACCTTCCTTGTGTAGTTGATTGTCTACTGTGAGTATAGACAGCTGGACTAGATGGGCCAGGGGTCTCCAGCAGTGCACTGCTTATGTTCTTATGCTATTTTCTTATATGTCAAGTGAGTGGCTGTATAAATTCAAATAATAAATAGATAAATAAATAAAGCACATGGGGAGAAAACAAGGCTTTTTCTGCCTCTCCATTTACCTGCTGCCTTGGATAGGTGCATTTCACAGAACTCTTGTAATCATCACTTGCTCAAAATCTGTTTTTCGTTTTTAAAACATTTATATTTCACCTTTTTGAAGATCATGTACTTTATAGGGCAACCAAAAATTAAAAGCAATCCACAAAAATAAGGTAACATTCAAATAAATGACTTTTCTTTCAAGCATTATGTATCAGATGTTGGATCAGAAGCTTCAAGGCCTGACGTGAAAACAATTGCAGTGTTTGCCACGGTATAGTTGGTTGGGGGATTCTGTTCAGCGAGGGGCAACGCTGAGCTGGTAGGATTTGGGAGCAACTGTCAGGAATCCGGTTGTTGGCGATATATCAAGATCATCTGGATCCCCCAATGGCTTCAGAGTAAAATGCTGCAGAATAGTTGTCAGGACCACAAATACTGTGATGTCTACCAATTTCTTGCCAATACAAACTCGCTTGCCTGCAAGCACAAATGGGGAAAGAATAATTTCTTTGTGGCAGCTTGCTTAAAAGATTAAAATGCTCAGCAGTTGGGATGTGAGATTGAGCAAACTTAGTATGGGGGAAGCCCCGGGCAGCTAATAGCTATTTCTGACATTTAAGGTAATTCTTTCTACATTCATCTGGAAATATGCTTAGCTACTTTTCTATTTCTGTTTTGCAAAAATGTGAATAAAATATACATTTGATCTAGGAAAGCACAGGCATTAACATGATTTTCTCTTGCAATTTCAGCTCTAAAATTAGGATATCTTTACCTGTGGAAAAAGGGATGAAGAATTCACTCTGTCTCAGAGCTCCCTTTTTGTCCAAGAAGTGCCCAGCATCAAATTGCTGTGGGTTGGGGAATTCTCTACTGTCATACAAGGAAGACTTCAGAGCAGGAAATACCGTAGTTCCCTAGTTGGACAATGACAGTTCAGTGTTGAAGAAGAGATTCTTTTTCAAGAAAGAAAGAGAAAAACATTCTGGCAGAGATGCACATATACCAGAATGGGTCCATCTTGGTGCTAGAATAATTGGTTTGCAGATTGATAGCCCTCTAAAGCAAATAATATGCATCACTGATGCTTTGATATGTATTGTAGAATGATCCTGACTACAACCACCACAATTCTTAACCAGCATGACCAATGGAATTCTGGGAGTTTCAGCTCAACCAGCAGAGTTGGAGAAGGTTTATTTTATTTTATTTTATTTTATTTATTAATTAATGTATTAATTTATTTATTATTATTATTAAACTTGTATGCCACCCATCTCCCCCAATGGGTGACTCTGGGAGGTTCACAATAACAAAAAAGTACGAACACACCAATCCCTCCTAGAAGGTTGCTATTCCTCATTTATGTGTGACATTATATACCCTACTTTATCACAATTGATCTGAAGGTGAGTTGGCCATAAAAAGAATCAAAATACAGTGGCAAAACCAACAATAGAGTCTCAGAAGCTGGCAGAAAAAAATCCCGTTCAAGAAAGCGATGGAGCAAAATCCTTCCTTGACTGCATTTTCACTGTAGAACATACTCAAGCATAGACCAACTGCATAATCCTTCAATGGCATAATCAGCTGTGTGGTAGGTGACAAATTTCAGCCACTTATTTTAAAAAACGAAAAAGCACCAAGACATAAAATATCTAGTTGATTCCTGCTACTGGGATGCAAAGCAGGTTTCAGTGAGCAACTGGAATTTTCTTTCTGAAATTTAAAAATTGTCTAGGATATAGCATGTTTCAAGCAATCTATTGATACACTTCCACTGAATCTTTTTTGCTGAAAGCAATAGGATGTACTGTGGGCAGGTAGATGTATCCTATGGGATTTTTCAAACAAACAGTAATCTAGGGGAATAAGCTGAAGTGTTCTTCTAACAGCAGAGAAAGGAAGTTGTTTGTGGAATGCTGTTATTCTGAGATAATTGAAACTGGCTTGGGTAGACTTGCTCTGATACCTAAGAATAAGGATAATCCCAGCTATGTAATATGAGAGGGTCAAATTCATGTTTTAGGTACCCCACAGAAACAGCTGTCTTGCTGGTAACTACCACCAGCCTTTGGAAAATTACAACCCTCAAAAGCTTATTCTGACTCCTTTAGCAAGTGCTAGTGGATATAATCATAGGGATACCCTCCAGCTATGCCGTAGAGATGCGCTGAGACTGGATGTAGCCACAGTGGTGTATTACACTGATGTGAATACTTCTACTTCATGTGCCAAGTATTGTTAAATATTTCTGTTACGAGTGCATGGAATGCTTCCTGAGCCTTCCTTCAACTAAAATCATACATATTTGCTGGGACTGCAACTCCCAGAATTCTTTTGGGCATGCATGCACCAATCTGTGAAATGATGCCCTATAGCAGAGTGACATGATTTGTTTTATGCTAAGAGTGTTACCTGGCTTTTAAATTACTTGCCACAGGTGATATTTTTAAAAAATAGGTGAAGCCAGGACAAAAGCTAAATTTGATATATATTTAGTGTAACTGCAATTTAAGTCAAATGGGTGTATTCCTCATGCATTTTTGTCTTTTATGTCACATCAACAATCATAATTTGATTGCGACTTTGGTAGAGCTCTGTTCTACTGTGTCTGCTAATTAACAAGGAATGAGAACAAGGCAGATGTGCATAAAGCTCTGGTTGCAGATCATATATAGGAGCTAGACTCACCTTGGGAATGAAATACTGCCTGAAGAAAGTATCCTGGATCACAGCACGTGGCACGTTCAGTGGTACAAGAGCCAGGCACCGATGAATCTCATGGATTACAGCATCTGTATAGGGCATCTTATCAAGATCTGCCACGCAGGGTCTTTGTGATGGGCCAATCACACAATCGATTTCTTGAAGAACTTTCTCTGGATGTAAAAATATGTGAGTTATAACACAGGCTTCCCTGCAAAGGTTGCTCCATAGCTGTGCAAATATATCTTGGGCTGGACTTCTGCGTAGTTCTCCATATCAAGAGCATCTGAGAATATTCTGATACAGTGGAATGTGACAAGAAAAATGCCATGATATTTCGTGGCTTTTCAACAACTTTTTATCAGTGTATTGTATGTAATGAGTCCTATTTATTACCCTGTTTCTGAATTTTGACCTGCATGTCCCATTTTGTCAAAAGTATCCAGCTAAGAGTAAGACAATATATACCAGAAGTACATGTTTATAGGAATCTTATGTATTTGATTTCTGCTATATAAAATGTAAGTATAATGTTTTCTATCACTAACCATTTATTACAAAACTTAAACAAATTCTGACAAAATTGTACATGTATTTGCTGCAGAACTATTCAAAGCTGAATGGTGGCTAAATGAGCAATAATTGTAACTATAGACTCTCAAGTTTTTGTTCTGCTTTTCTTCGTCTTGCTTTTGTTTCCATCATTGGTTTCTTTTTAATTTTGTGTTTTTAACATTTGTATTTTTATTGTAAAAAATTAAAAATTAAATCCTTTGGTTTGAGCACAGAAAGATAAGCCGCCTGCCTCCATTTGTTTTCACCATGGACAGTGTACTTCTCTGCATCACTTGAATAGGCAGAGTGGACAGTGCTATCCTACCTTGAACTTTGGGGTACTTCATGAGAACCAGGAGTCCATATTTCAGGACAAGGCTGGTTGATTCTGCTCCTGCAGTGAAAAGGTCTAATGTGCTCCTCACCAAACTCTGAAGATCAAAGACAGAGTCACTGTTTTGGCTCTCCTGTAAAAAATGTTGGGATAGAGGACAAATGTTTAGAAAGGCATGTTGACTTACACAAAATAACTCCACCTTATGAGGTTTCCATCACACAATGGCTGAATTCACACATCTGTGTATGTGATTTCTTAATTTTTTGCTTAGCGTGTTGTATGAACCCATTGAGATTTGTAAGTCATAATTTAAGGCTTAATGTGTTCTATGAACCAATTGTGGTTTATTCAGTAAATTATGCTTAAGCAAACATTGGCTTAATGTAATGTGAATTCAATCACAGATGTGCATACAGGCACATCTCTAAGGACATGGTTATACTTCACATATTAGTGAAGTATATTCACCTGTTAATCCAAAGATTAATATCAGGATTGGAATGTTTTAATCAATAGTATTTTCAGATGGATACATGGTATTCTAGCCATGAATGAACTCAGAACAGCTAAATTACAGCATGGTGTCTTCATGATGAAAAGAATCAAAGAAATGTGTGTAGAATAGCTTTCAGGGTTCCTGTGCAGTACCAGTCCTCATAAATCCAAGACCAGTTTATTCTCTAGAGATGGGGAACCAGTTCTGGAGCCTAAGGGCACAGTCCCCTATACGTATCTTCTTCGGAGCATACCTGTGACAAAAGAAGACTGAAGGCAAGCCACTCCCACCCCTCCAGGAAAGAGCTGAACAATTGAGAAGAGAGAACTGCTTTGGTGGAAGTTGAGACCACGGGCATGGGGGGGGGGTGAGGGGAGCAAAAGGAGCAAGTAACATCATGCACATATAATTGTTGTGCAAATGATGTGACAAATGTAATAAATTACACAAGCAGTGTCATTTATACAATGATGTAATGATGCAAACCAAACAAACTATTGTCTCTATTGGATGCCTATGGCTGAGACATAGTGCTTTAGTTTTTAAGAAAATATTTTTTACAAAGTCCCAATTTAGTAGTCTTTCCCTGCAGCCAACATCTTCACTGGGTCAGTCAAACATGGTGAAATGGCACCTGGGCTTCACCAAGGAGGAGGGAGAGCTGTGGAGCCAGGAGGCAAGCTCTCTTACCAATGAGAATCTGCCCACCTTACAGATCCAGTGTGACCACTGCAGAATCGTTCTTGTAACAATATTCAAAACTTTAAATAATATGTAATAACTCTTCCATTTATGCATTCTTCTACCAAAGATATACAGTGAGATTTTCTTTTGATTATAGAAAGACATGCACATGGCTCAAGGATTTGCAGGCATAGCCTGGAATTGAGCACTGAAGAACTGAACCCATATTGAGATGCTACCTTCCCAAACTCTTAGGTTCCTCTCTCACATGTTTTTTCTGTGAACAGCCAAGAGATCCCTACATTCCAAAACTACTAGTATTTTTCTGCCATGCACCAACATATCCCCTTTCCCTCTCCTCTTCAATACAGAAGTAGTAATAGAATTGGTGGCAGGAACAAGATGAAAAAGAAAGGGATTTATTTATCTTTTCATTTTCTGCCTCTCTTTTCTCTCCCCTCCATTGTCCCTCAATGTAAATTAGTATTCTCTTCTGCAATACAGATGTTATTTGTCACTAGGCTTTTCTGGGATTTTAAAAATTTCCCAGTCTAATCTACAGCTCTGGGTGTTTTTAGTCCTCTTCCATCTAGTTCTACTCAGGTCCAATCCTACTTAGCTTTTTAAAGATCAGGTGCTGTCATCTGTTGCCATCATACAATAAAACATGCATATTCCCCCCCCCCGCCCCAATCATCTCTGGTCTAGAAAATGTAACATGGAGAATGGAGATCTGTGTTCATGGAGTCTGGCTTCTTACCTCCCTCAGTCACCCTGCTACCATGGTCTAATACTCTAACCATTAAACAAGGTTGACCTTTGGCCAGAACAGCAAAGGAGCTACCTCAGAGACCATTTGGGCCCCATTACCTGCTCCATTTTGATAAGAAAGGCATCGATGAAATCTCTTGGATGCTCAGGCTGTGGAATCTCCTGGTGCATTTTCACCTGCCTTGCAACAAACTGTTTTAACTCGTCTGTATTTTTAAATATCTTCTGATGAGATCCAGGTAGATAATCCAAGATTGTTGGAAAAATATTGTACAGCTGTGAAGATAACAGGAGAAAGTCGTGATGATGCTCTAGACCAGTGTTTCTCAACCTTGGCAACTTTAAGATGAGTGGACTTCAACTCCCAGAATTCCCCAGCTGTTCTAGACATATGTAAACGTCCTTTTTTTAAAAAAAGAAATCAAATTGCTTTTTAAATCTTTTGTGCATAAAGATCATATCGTTGTAGGAATGATGTTTCAGCTTAGGATGCTAAACAAGGATGATCTGGAGTCCAGTCAGCTCCAGACCCATCACTGGGACCAAGGAAGGAGACTTCCCCTGCTCTCTTTATGTACTGGGTGTGGGGATTCTGAGAGATCAACTGAAGAGAGGGGAATTGTTTTGTGGTGGTGGTGGGGCCCTGAGCAGGTAGGTTTCCATGCTGGATCCCAAGGAGTCTGTTAAATATGGTAAATAGAGATGGAAGGGAAGAAATAGAATAACATTTGAGTCTATAATGAATGGGGTCATATTTCTTGCTACCTTGGGTATATTTTCTCCATCCTGGCTTTTTGGAAGAATCCATTATATTGATACCCTGGTCTTAATGGTTGTTTTCATAGAGGCAGGGCCATTACAAGAAACAGAAAAGAACACACCATTTGTGGCTGGATCAGTGAATTAGCTTTGAACCACAGTTTGTTCACCTTCCTCCATCTCCAACTGCTATTTCTCACAAGAAACTATTCCTCATTCTCTCCAAAGTTACTCCTGGTTGTAAGAGGGCAGTACCACCTTGTTTCTAAAGAAGGATTGGCAGGGTTTAGAAACTCCATAGCAGAATCCATTGTTCTTTCCCATTTCTTTGTTATAGGGTGTTTTCAAATGTGGCTTTTTCTGCCTAGTTGTCCTACCTAATCATGGAACTTTAAGGAATCCAGACAATGTTGTTCTCTGTTTACAACCCTCATATGACTTACATAACTTTTCTTTCAGAGAAACTTCATCAAGGGGGAACAGATAGAATAGCTACATCCAGTGCCTTTGAACTGATACTGCTAGGAACTCTCTGTTTGGAAGCACCCATGAATTGGATTTGCTAGACATTCTTGCTCTACAATAATAGCTGAAACTGTTTTTAATCAAGGAACCTTTTGTCTTGGATATTTCAGCATTTAATCTTTTGCAGTGGGGAGAGGAATACCAAAGTCCTGATACATTTTCTGTCCATATTCCCAATCTTTTGCAGAGGCTGTCCTGGCCTGCCTCACAACTGGTGTGGAAATTTCATTTCCCCCTATACTTGCCTTTGTCATTGTGGAGGATTGAAGGTGAGCATTTTCGTTCAACAAGTGAAGGAATCTCAGGAAATCCTTGTCCTCATAATTAAAGCGTTTCCCAAAAGCAATTGAACATAGGATGTTGGTTGTTGTCTGGCTGAGGAAGTGGGTGGGATCAAATGTCCTTCCTGCCAATGGACAAATATATTATTTCCAAACCAGGCATGAGGCATGGGGAAAGCAACTTGGAGGGCTGAACCTGCTAGATTACTCAATGGAGAGTAATCTAAGAAGAGAGGTTCTAACTCTTACTGGTGGGTGGATGAGCTTTTTCTTATTGATCTATGATAGATTTTGAGATGCTCTAATTGTTCCTAGCCTTATCCTTACTTCTCTAACTTTTGCTTCTTGAGTCTAATCCAAGAGGTTTGCTAGAGAAGTCCATCTTATGTGGCCTGGAGTGAGGAACAGAATTATTACCATTTGTGCTCTTTAGTCTCTCCACTAAGAAAACAGCTTCCTCCTGGATTTTCTTCTCAATATTCTGGCCCACACCCAACATGTTCAGTGTAGTCTCTGCAAACTGACGGAGTTGTTTCCATGTTTCCCCATTGCTGAAGCCAATTCCTGTGTAAAACAGACCCAAAGAAATGCAATGAATGGAAGAACAAAGAGCTCACAAGGATGAGAATGTTGCCACTGGATTCCTTAAAATACATTACACTGCAGGTATATTTTTCATAATGCTAATGAAAAATTTCTTGTGCTGCTTATCCAGTTGTTTGTGATGGAGAAATACGAAGTGATGCAATGCACAATGTTCTACTATGGAAAGAATTCATCCTTCTGACCCAACAATGTTTTCTGTGATCACCAGCAGCTGTTCAGTCTTGCCCATCATCTGCTACCTGAGCCCTTTCAAACTGTATATTGAACCTGGAAGCTTGTGCAGATGAACAAATACCGTGACTACCAACCAGTGGACTCCCTTTGGGACTGTGCTTGGTTTGGGAGTAAAAAAAAAAAAAAAAAAAAAGTCAACCATGCACCACCTCCAGTCTTTTTCCCCCCAAATTAAATGTTTATTTGAATTTCAAAAATTTACATAGTGCTATTACATTTTAACATGCCCTTAATGTTTCATACAAGCTGTTTCCAGGATGCTTATCTCATATAAATAATGAAATCCCACCATTCCTTCTAAAACAATGATTCACAACTTGGCTTAACATACAAAGTATTTTATCAGAGACATTTTCAAGTAAAGCTGTAGACCAGATCTTAGCAAACCAGATCCACTGAAATATCCAGATCTTTCTTCTATTATTATTATTATTATTATTATTATTATTATTATTATTACTACTACTACTACTACTA